CCAGAGACTTTCATTGGTATGAAAGAAAACCGGTATCCCTAGAAAAGCCAGAACAAAAAGGTTCACACACTACTTACATAACCCAGCAGCATGCCCTCATCAATCAGAACCTCACAAAAAAACTATATCCTGCCTAAGATCAAAAACAACAGCAGGGAACAAGGAGGCTAAACAACAACGACATAATTCCTAGAAAACAACCCCAAATAGTAACAGCAAAACCCAAAGACCACAAAACAAAAATGATCCAAAAACAGAGAAGAGACTTCAAGAACCCTTGAAGCCCTTGATCATCAAAATCAAGATCCAATCGGAGTAAGAAAGTTGACAGCACTTTGACAGATCCGAGCGAAGAAGGATCAACATAATCAACTAGACACGCACCACTGGCAAAGGAACCAAGACACGGCTACATCTCCCTGGAGAACGGCATCACCACTTAATGAATTATATTTATTGCAAATAAAAAACTATGAGGATACTTTGAATATCATGAGCAACTGCTTGTCAATATAGGTGAATTCTACCTCGATAATTTTCATGGAGCTGAATCATGTTGAAATAATCATTAATCTGATATCCTGGTAGGAAGCTGCTAAGTTTGGTTAAAGAAGAAAAGTAACAGATTGGAGGGAAGCAAAACTGAAGATTGAAGATGATTCAAAAAACGTTCTCGTTCTTCTTTTTACCAAATTCTAGGGTTATAAAATAGGTTACTCTTGCGTCATTTTGTTTAGTCTATATTTTGTAAGCCTTTATATGCTCACATTAGTGTCGTTTAGCCATGTCTTTATTGTTGTCGTTTTTTTCATGTTCAAGATTGTTCAACAAACTGTTATTCTTTGTAAATTCGACATAGTATTAGAGCTTTCACTTTCAAGGGACTTGTGACTCGATTGTTACTATGAGTTTTATTTTCTTCTTAAAATCGTATGGCTACTGCCGGTTTCAGTGCTGCATCTCCTTCCATTTTCTTTGATGTGAATAACCTTTTCTGGGCTGTTAAGATGTGGTCATACATAAAGGCTTTCGATTGTTGGGATGCTATTGAGGCTAAAGAAGTTCTTGTGCAGAGGCATGCTAATCTTACATTGGCTCAAATCAAACAACATAACGAGGAAGTAGCTAAAAGGTACAAGGCTCTCATCTGTCTACAATCTGCTGCGTTAGAATCGATTTTTCTAAAATCATGAATTGTGAAGATCCTAAACTAGTGTGGGATAGTTTAAAAGAAGAATATCAGGGTGATGATCAAACCAAGGCTATGCAAGCACTGAATATTTCTAGACAATTTGAGCTTATGAGAATGGAGGAGGAAGAAAATATTCAAGAATATGCAGATAAACTGTTCAAGTTAGTAAATCATCTTTGGCAACTAGGAGAAGAAGTCAATGATAAGAAAATAGTGGATAAGATTTTAGTCAATGTTCCAAAGAGATTTAAAGGCAAAATGTCATCTTTGAAGATTCCAAAGATTTGACTAAGATCTCAATTAATGAGCTGATCAGTGCTCTATTTGTTCAAGAGCAAATGAGAGCTCTTAGGTGTGAAGGTCTTGTTGAAAATACTTTGGTTGCCAAAACCAAAGGTTTGAAGATCAATGGTGAAGGCTCAAAGAAGCATAAAAGTAGTAGAGTTGGTGATGACAAGCAGGGAAAAATGAAAAACAAGTATTCTCCAAGTCCTTATTATAAGAAAAGTAATCATACTCCTAAATATTATTAGTACAGGTCCAATGTGAAGTCTAGAGCCTATGATCAACTTGGTTATGTTGAAAAAATTTGTAAAGCTAAAAAGAAAAGTAACGAGAACAAGGCTATTGTGGCTGAGCAAACTTAAGAATTTGAAGATGTGTTATTCATGGCCATATTGGTGGAAGGGGGGGGGGGGGGGGGGGGGGGGAGATGGATTTTGATGAAAGAAGTGTATGGTTACTGGATAGTGGTTGTTCTAACCATCTCACAGCCAATAAAATGTTATTTTCAGATTTTGATTAAAGCTTTATAGCTCAAATCAAGATAGGATATGTAGTGTATTTAAAGATAGTTGGAAAAGGAATTATTCCTACCAACACTTTGTCAAGTATTAAATATATTTATGGTGTTTTCTTAGTACCTAAATCTGAGTAGAATTTATCAAGTGTTGGTCAATTGGCTAAGAAAAATTATGCATTATTATTTAAGGGTGAGTTATGCAATATATTTGATCTTACTTAAGCCAAGATATTAACTATTGAAATGAAAAATACTTGCTACCTTTTAAACTTAATGAAATTTGAGCTTAGAGCTTTGGTGAGTGAAGATGATGTTACTGACCTTTGGCATAAGAGATTTAGTCATGTCAATTATCATTCATTAAGAAAAATGTCTAATGTTGGTCTAGTTGATGGTTTACCTATTTTTAACAAACCTAATAAATTGTGTCAAGTCTATCAATTTGGGAAACAAAGTAGAAAACCATTTCCAAGCAGAAAAGTTGGAATGCTAAGTATAAACTTGAGCTTGTTCATATTGATTTGTGTGGACCTATGAAGACACCTTTATTAAGTCAAAGTATTATATAGTGTTCATTGATGATCTTACTAGATTCAACTGGGTTTATTTTATGAAGTAGAAGTCAAAAGCATTGGGTAAGTTTATTACTTTTGAAGCTTTGGCTGAAACTCAAGCTAATAGGAAAATTAAGACTTTAAGAATAAACAATGGCTCAAAGTATACATCTTTTGAATTTGAGAAGTTTTGGCTCAATTAGGTGTTGAGCATCAGTTAACTGTCACCTATACTCCTAATCAAAATGGAGTTTGAAAACGAAGGAATAGAAAACTAGTAGATAGGGCTAGATGTTTATTGTTCCAAAGTGTTATGTCAAGGGTATTTTTGGAAAAAATTGTTAACATCGTTAATTACATTTTGAATATGACCTATACAAGAGTATTAACGCTTAAAACTTCATATAAGATGTGGTATGAACCTAAACCAAGTGTTTCTCATTTTAAAACATTTGGTTGTGTGTGTTTTGCTAAAATACCAAATGAAAAAAAAGTCAAAGTTTGATTCAAAGTCAGTGTTAGCTATTCATATTGGCTATAGTGACGTATCTAAAGGATTCAAACTATATGACACTAAGTCAAAGAAGGCTCTTAGAAGTAGAGATGTTCAATTTAATGAAATGCAAAAATGGGACTAGAAAATGAAAATAATAAATGGTTTTGAAAATGTGTTTTTTGGAATTAATGAGTAGGTACAGTGTGAGGAACTTGATGATATTGATATAGAGGATGAAAGCTTGGCAGTTAGAGGGACAAGATAATTCTAGGAAATTTAGAACAGATGTAACTTGGCAATTGCAAACCCTACAACTTTTGTAAAAGCTCAATCAGATGCTAACTGGAGAGTAGTAATGGATGCAAAAATGGCCATGATTCAGAACAATGAAACCTAGGAATTGGTTGACAAGCCAAGTGATCAACATGTGATTGGTGTCAAGTGGATCTATAGGACAAAGTTGAATCTTGAAGGCACAATTGACAAGTACAAAGCCAGGTTAGTGGTTAAAAGGTATGCATAGACTCATGGTATTGATTTCTTTGAAACTTTTGCACCAATGGCTAGGCATGATACTATAAGATTGTTAACAGCTTTATCAACTAGAGAGGGATGGAAAATTTATCATTTGGATGTAAAATCAACTTTTTTAAATGGTATTTTGAAAAAAGATATTTATGTTACTCAACCTAAAAGGTATGTGTGCATGGGAGTTGAAAACAAAGTATGCAAGTTGGTTAAAGCTCTGTATAGACTTAAGCAGACTCTTAGAGTTTGGTATGAGAGAATTGATGGTTATTGAGAAGTTAAGGGTTCAATAGGAGTATTACTAAACCAACATTTTATATAAAAAGCTCTAATAGGTTAGTGAAGTTGATAGTTGCTTTATATGTGGAAGATTTGTTAATTACAAGGCCAAATGCTGAATGCTTGAAGGAATTTAAGTCATAAATGATGAC